CAGAGGCAAATATTTAATAAAAAATAAATAAATAAAAGCGCATTAATGCAACAGGCTGAGTTGAAATTTATTAATATTAAATAACTGAATTTAAAAGGTTTCATGGTTCTCAGAGAAACATTTGTGATGTCACAGCTATGAGCAGCAGCATTGACAAATCAAGGTCAATTTACTAGCTCGCATGTTCTGGAGCCTTCAATTGCATCAGAAAATTCTTATTAGCAGATCAAGTACAATAGAAAATGTGAAGCTGTGTTGAAGTCTGGGTAAACGCGTCATGTCTGGAGCATTAGCCATTATATGAAAGAAAGTCACTTTCAGCTTTTGCCGTTTTAGGGGTCGCCACAGCGAATCGTCACAATTAGCACGGTTGAGAACGAAGGATTCAGAAAAATGATAAATACTCTGGACAAGCGTTATACTTTGCCATCTCGACACCATTTCATGAGAGTTGCTCTGCACGGCTTTTTTTCAAATAAAGCAGGCAGAAGTGAAGTATCAAAAGCAGAGTACTTCGCCACCACAACAGACCTATGGTGTAGCCGCACAATGCAGCCATATATATTAGCTTAACACTACACTTCATCGATGCCGATTTCAATTTGAATGTAAAATGTTTAGATTTTTTCAGTTTAAGGCACATACGTGAGCAAACTTGTTTTGGATAAATTTATTTATTTCATTTATAATTTATATTTTATTTATTACTTGTTTTTAAAAAAATGTTGTGGAAGTGCACTACATTGTTGGTCTTGTTTGCCTTTATCTGTCTTAATCTGTTTTTCCACTGTTCTGTTCAATAAATGCAACATATTTCCAAAGTCAATGAGTAATCGTGTAAAATAATCGTGATTATGATTTTTTCCATAATCGAGCAGCCCTAGGTATGGCTCTACAAACTAGGCCAGAAATTATACAGGAGAGCCATATGATACCCATATCTAATTATCTTTTTGTCATGAAAGTTCAAGTGCTAAGCTGGGAGAGTTTTACCTCATCATAGATGCTCTCAATCTCATTGAGAAGACTCTTCGACCGCAGGGCCTTCATGTCATTCTGTTTGAAGTTGACGCCTTGGTGATCAAGAGACTTCAGGTAGGCCTTTTCGTATTGCTCCCTCCAAATCTTATTGAAACCCTGCTGGGCCTCTCTCCACTCCTCCTCCTTGGCTTTCAACCTAGAGAGAATGATGCACATTTAACATAAATACTTCACAAACACAGTCCTGTTCAATAATATGTCATGTTAACGCATGTCAGAGCACCTGCTTGTGCACATGGCAGCCTGGTTTTAAGTATTAAAGTACCTGTGGAAGGTAACACAGGTTTTTAGAATTCAAAATCCCTACATACTGTACAGCACGATGAATATGCAAAGCATTTTTAACACAGCTGTTGCTGGTATGGTTTTCCTTTGCTGTTGACATACAAAAATCACTGTGTTGATACAAAGATCTTCCCCATGCTGTCAGCAAAACAACATTACCATCATACTGTCACTTAGTTAAACCTTCCTGCTGCTAATGTAAATTAACTCTCCAATTGCAAGCAACAAGCTCATTTCCATACTCTGTTGACATAAAAGAAAACTAGAGCATTATGTGTTCATGATGATACATTAACGTAAAAAGTGAGCAATAATTGGCTAAATCAACCTTTTCAACCATTAAATGTTTAACCTATAGACAAATTTGTCAAAAACGGAGATAAAAACAGTGCTGACCTCTTGAGCACCACAGGTACAGCAGTAGCAGGACTCCTCTTCAGTCCCTCAATGATCTCAGGGGCTTTGTCTCCATAGATACGATACACAGCACGACGCTGGATGACCTCAGAGGTGCCGCCCAGGCAGTCATCTAGTCTGAACCGGTCCTGGTCCTCTGGTGAAAGGCGGGACAGCTTCTTCTGGACGCTCTCTAGCACCCTGATAGTGGCCAAGTTTGTCTCCAGAACTACATCCAACTGTAAGTGAAGCGTTAGAGATGCAGCACTTTTAAAAGTCAGACATGAACTACATTAGAGTGTTCTATGTGTTAAAGGTTAACTCAAAAACATCCTGAGTAAGTTGTGACATATGTAACACAGTCCTAATTGGGCCGTACCTCAAATCTTTCATCCTCGCAGCGATGCAGCTGTTCCTCATAAGGAGTCTTCTTCGAGCTGACAAAAGTGGAGTCCTCTGACCAGGAGGGGAAGGACACCCATGTGTCGTTCAACACCTACAGACGCATGTGTTATACATCATACTTGATGGAAAACACTAGGGCTGCCTCCTAATAGTCAAATAATCGAGTCATTATTCAGTTGACTGAGACTCTTCTAGTTGAACCTTTGTTTTTATTTTATATTTTGTCAGCCATTGCGCATTAGAATAGAAGGTAACCCCCAGCCTGGTGGTTTGTCATCTTCTCCTCATTTTGGTGTGCCAGGCAGCAATTTGCTCGGTGACACTGTGATACATGGATGTACATTACGGTTGGGTCTATTTAGCAAATTGCAGAATGAGGAGAGAGGGACAACAAAACCCACTAGGACAAGCTACACATATTTGAGGTTTGTACTTTATTAGAAGTGTTTTCAAACGCTGTCTACTTTTACAAGAGAAAAGACTGTCGTAACAATGTGGATGGTTTTGCATAATGTTATGAGAGTCCTGTTTGTTTGCCCATCTCCACTAAAGTCCAATGCACAGCCCTTTACCGCATGTTTCTGTGATGTGTATCCATTCGAACGGGAATAGGAAGCTAACAAAAATGTGTGGGGAATTATAAATAAGAGAATCATTTGCAGTGCAAGCTGGCACACATCAAAACAGTAAAAACATGCGCTGTGCTTAACTGATGAGAGAAGTTTAAACTTGTTGGTAAACTAGCCTATAACAGCATTGTTTCATCAGAAGTACAAGTGTGCTGCCTGTCTCATTATTCCAACAAATCCATATGGCAGCCTGACATTATATATCAATTTAAATAGATCATATGCAGCTGTCTTTTACTTTTTAAATGCTCAGACATATCTTCTTGTCACTCTTTTGCATGTAAATACTGATGTTAATATGTTTGAAATTGTCAATGAAATTCACGCCAGTTGATTTTCTGACAGTCTAGGCTATACATATATATTAAAAAAAGAAAAAGAACAAACAGTCAAATAGTCACACTGAAGAGGCGACTGACAAAATCCTTAGTCGGGTACAGCCCTAGAAAACACTTTATACAGGTTTCATTTTATGACAGGTTGGTCTGTTCTTTCTTATATTATTAATAATTAAAGACAGCCTGTGGGGTTTTGACCCTTAGTCACTAACAGGGCTATGCATTTGTATCTTTACAAGGAAAAATATACTTTGCAGATGTTTTATCCATTCAACACATTTGTTAGACCTCAAAAATTCACATTTTGGTTACATGTTTTGGTGATAAAATTGTGATTACAAGAAAACTCTACACAGTACCACTAAGCAATGCACTGATCTAGTGACATCTTCTTGGGAAAATGTTAGTGGGTGTACCTCCTTGCATAAGGCAGTGCGCCCGCTGCATTTAGGCTGCTGGTAGGTCTTGGGCAGTGCTCTGTAGCTGGACCCCAGGCGCTTGCAGGAGGCATAATCGACCTCTCTCCCCCCTCCCCCCTCCATGTAGCGATCCGACAGCCCTGACACAGCATGAGAGAGTTCTTTGTCGCCCAGAAATGACTTGAACTGTGTGTACAATTCAGGAAACTTCCTGGAAGGAGATGGATAAAAGTATTAATGACAGACAAATCAGGAGAAGAATAGCTGGTTATATCAATACCATTTGTATACAACATCACTAATTCTTAATTGCAGGTAGTAATACCAGAAAGCCTCTTCTACAAAATTACACATTTGACAGGCTCCTTGCAGCCTCTGTATCCATTCAGCTGTACATCACTTTTTCACATTTTATCCAGCTCGGTTATCTCGCCTCCACTCACCCCAGGAAAGGAGTGACTAGTTGTAGCAGCTCTGCTCCCGAAACTACTTCCTGGTTAAACAAGGCAATGCAGCGCAGGAAGTTTTCATATACTTCCTGGCTTTTAAACAGACGACGAACCTGAAAGATGGGTGGGTTAACAAGGAAATTAGAGCATACATATTATTAAAGATATAAAAATACATGTGAAAGACAGTAACAGAAAAAAGAGGGAGCAGAAGGGAACTACAGTGGCAGTGGGTCAAAGAAACAGTATGAATCATCACTGCTGAAGTGGAAAATACCTCACCTTATCAAAGAAAGAGAATTCTCGTAAAACTCCATGTTTGCCAACTGAAGCGAAGGACTGATCTTTGGTACAGGAATATTTCATTTTCTTCTAAATAAAAAAAACAGTACTTAATGATCTTTACAGAGGTTTAGTTCGGAGCATTTAACTGCTGCTTTTGGGACAAATCAAAGTGTTGGCCAACCTTTTTGAGGTCAAGGATGTATATTCTAAACAGAAAATTTACCTTGAGCAGTGGGGACATGTGCTGCAGTAGTATGGGTCTGGGCCGCTTTTTGTTTTGTTTGGTTATCGTGTCCTCTTCCTCTGGCCTTTTCAGATGCTCTTTCCCCACCGTCAGTGAGCTCCCTGTGAACTACAGGAGAAGAAGCACAACAAAGAGTTGAGAGAAGGTTTGACTGATTCAGTGAAAAATGTCCAAATTGTCATATTCAGCATTTCAAAAGTTAAAAATCTTCCACGTACATTAAATGAAGAAAAATGCTTTAAATAATTCATCTTCGGCACAGTGATTAGAATGTTAAATTATATTTCAGATGTATTTTGGACTCTTCTGTAATGCTTTGTCAATGCACTTTCCAGAGAAACAAAACATTTATTTTCCACTACACTGACTATTAAACAGGAATATTCTGAGCATGACATTCCTGCAAAGTCACACTGAAGAACAAAACATCACTGACAAAAAAAGTACAACAAAAAAATAATAAGTCTGGTGGCAAGACTGATTACAAATAGTTTGTCCAAAGTTTTCTATTTGTTATCTGTATTGAAATTGCACCATTATCTCTCTCTACTGACCAGTGATCTCTTGGCATCAGGCAGGAATTGTCCAAACTCAGCCAGCAGGTCTTCTTGTCCCTTAAAAAGGCTGGCAACTTTAGAAAACACTTCATCTTCTGTCATCCCGCTGCTGCTTCGACTGCCTCGACTCTCCTTCACCTCCAACTGCTCTTTCTGTATGGGTGGTGGGGGTGTTGTGGGGAATCGAGCTCAGTTTATTAAAGGTACTGGGAAGTTAAAATTCTTGACTGGTTACACTGGTCAATAGTCTGGGTGCAAGAGACTTAAAGAGTGTCGTCCAAGATGCAAGCTGTTGTATAAATCTGATGCTAAACAAAACTACCTTTTATTTACATAGCATTGTAATTTAAAAGTACTATGAAGCCATTTAGAAACTACTCAAGTTCTTATTGGAATACCTCTTCTCTCTCACCTCAGCTTTTCTAATATTCTACAATAACAGTTAAACTCTGAGGTGAAATCAGACAACTGTAAGATAATGGCAACTATCTGGGAAAAAAACCAACCTACATTGCTATAATGTGCTACTAAAATGCAACTTAAATCACCATATATTATCTCCACAGTACCTGATACGTGTGAAGAATTTCTAGGAAGGCCCTGTAGGTCTCTGGGTGGTCCAAAAACCGGTTTTTGATCTTGTTTACATAACTGATGGCACTGTCAAACTCTACAGGGCTCGTCTCTGAGGCAGGTGGGGATACAGATGAGGTGGTTGCCTGACTCTGGCTCTCTCTGCTGGTCAGGGGAAGAGAAAGTCTGCTGGGAGGCTGTGGAGGTCCTGCTGAGGTCGAGGAAGACAGGGACTCAGATGAGGCTGCCTTGCCTTCACTGGTCTGGGCCGGTCCAGCTTCGGTGTGGGCGGCAGTGGAACTACCTGAGGTTGTGGGCACTGCAGAGGTGGTGAGACTCTTCCCTTGCTGGCCTGGGGATACCTGCATAGGTGAAAGGCAGCAGAAAGTTGAGCTGGGTGATTAAAGGTGCACTAACTGAAGAAGGCTGTTCTTTACTTCAGTTAAGACTTCTGAAAAAATATTTTCTAGCACTCAGCCCAGATGGCAGTTACCATCTGCTGCTCAGCAATGTTCATGCACCTGTGTCACTACACACAAATTATATAAACAGTTGAACCTGGTCCCTGTTAAAGTGTCCTAAATCATTCTTTCATTCACAATTCCCTACAGCATGGACTCTAAAGTGAGCAGTAAATTGTCATTTCTGACTCTTATAATTCTTCAACTCATCACTGAGGGAAGGAGTCCCAGAAGGGGACAGGAGTCTCCCAAAACCCTAAAATAACCCTCAGTCACATTCTTTGACAAAAAAGTCTACAACTCCCAGAATGTAAATTGCTGCATTGTAGGATTTTTTTGAGTGCACGATTTTCTGCAAGAATTTCACACACACAGAATTTGTGCACTCAACTGAAGTGGCAGGTGGTAATAAGCACACTATATATAGCAAACTAGGAGTGATTTCGGACACAATCGGCGTTTCTCTTAAATTTCCTATTAAGAAGCTGCAACTTACACAAATTCATGCATTTACCTTATAGGTAATACACTTACACTGAGATGCAAACTTTAAAAGCCTGCACTATTATATTGAACAGAAATCAATACAAGACTCAGGGATATGGACAGTGTGACACAAAAACATAAATCCAAACCATATTCTAAAATCAATATGGCTATCACAAACAGTTTTTATGCAACACTCCTCCCTGCTTCTCAGGTTGCCCAATCAAACTCCTTAGTCATATCATACAATTCTCAAACAAGAAAATCTCTCACAGAAGAAAACATCAGTGACATTTGGTTCTAGGCCAGTGCTCGAAATAAATCCCATGCAATGAATCTGCGTTGTTGAAATCACAGAACTGAAACTAGCCTCTGCATCCTAGCAACTTACTGTCAGCCAAAGCTTACAGCACTTTGGTTAATATATAAACAAATGATCAAATCATACCAAATATGAATCGAGTTGAAACTGAATCTGCGCAGAAGCAAATTACATCTGAATCAATTGGTTTTTAATTGTAGTGCATCAAATCACTATAGCCTACTCTTTTGGTTGCAGTCGTTTTTGTATTGGACTAAAGACAGTGCATTCAGTTATGAAACAGTCTAAGAGGGATACGCACATTGTAATGGGTTTTATATACATTATATAAAGTATATATACAATCCAGCATGGCATGTTTCAGACCTTTTCAAACCTTGAGATCTCCACTGAAATTTTAAAGTCAGTTTAAAGGTTATGTTTTTTGTGTCTGTTAAGATAAACTGAGGAAAAGGAGGCGCTCCAATTATTTAAAAAAGTGAAAGATTAACACCTAAGCATTTATTCCCTGTAAATTTCATTTAAACAATGACAATAAAATGACAAGTTAGCTGCCTTGTTTTGCTGTGATATCTTTACCACAGCAATATTTTGAAGCAGAGTACTCAACTGTAATTGATTGCAGAAGAAGCTCACCTGTTTCCTCTTAAGGATTCAAAAGTTCTGTGAACTTAAACATACAGTACTCTTCAGTGCACCAGGAGTTTGTAATAATAAACTTGCTCTAAAATTTGTCATTCTGAACACAAGTAAAACACTAGTTTTTAGAACTTATCTTTAGCTGTGAGAAGAGTGACTGACCTGTGAAGAGAACGGAGACTGGAGGAAAGCCACCCCGTTCTTGGGGACCTCTATCCGATACCCCGGTGGGAGGAAGGCATTGAAGCCCAAGACCAGATCCGGATGTCCATGGAAGAGTTGTGACACACGATTTATAACCCCTGGTGTGTCAATGCTAATCAGGGGAACAGAGAAATATTTTAATGATGTAGTTAACAGAGGCGAATAAAGATTAGTTTCCTCCCTTATGTGCTGAAGACAACTAACTCCTAATCAGTCTTACAACTTATCTTAACAACAAGCACAGCTGAATCATTAATTCACTAATTCTAAATTCTGTCACCCCACTTTGACATTTTAACATATTATAAACTTTCACATAGTGAGAGTAGGGTGTTATCTGTAGTTTACTTATTGTTAAAAGCCTTAAAATATGTGGGTAATCCCTGGGTAGTGATGTCAAGTAATCAAATTCCACATATGAGCCCCCACTATCATCATCTTAAGAGTCTGTATGAGGATCCAGCCCATTAAAAATGTACACCTAAAACTCTGTAACTTCTGATTACTCTTGGGGGGCTAACAGAAGATACACAGCATCCATCTCTATGCATCTCTAACACTTATCTGTCCTTTGTATAAACTGTCATAAATACCTCTGTGACTTGAACTCTTTCATGATGTCGAGAAACTTGTTGTATATACCAGGGTCATTGGCAAAACGAATTTTGACTTGGTCCAAATACGACAAGGCATCTTCAACCTAAACACAGAAGGAAGGGGGGAAATCATCAGTGCAGCACAAAGCCCAGTCAGTCTCACCTGGAGCTGCGCAGAAGTTGCTGGACAGACATCCTGCCATGCTGCTGATGAAGCAGGATCTTATAGAGGCAGAGCTCTCAGATGGCTTTAACATGCCTAACACAATGGCTGGACTACACATCAATGCTACACTGTCTCATTAATAACAATATAGTATGATGTACTACTATCAAATTTGAAGTGGTGCTGCTGTACGAACCTAAATATTTGTATTTAGAAATTTTCAGTGCTACTGTACATGTGGACGTTTTCTGACATGAAGTTATACAAATTGTTAATGTTTGCTTTCTCCCATGTCAGCTGAAGTGCCATATCAACAAATGCTGCACAAGCTGTAACAAGTACCGCTAAATAAATAAATGTGCGTGAATACAAAAAAAAAAAAAAAAAAAACACCGTGCAGCTTTTGTTCCCTGGACCAGTTTTCTTCAGACGCCACACACAAGGCAGGTCAGCTTACGATGAAATAACGTTGTGTTCATACAAAGCACTGTTAGAAATTGTCCACATCTAAAGAGGGCTGAAACGTTAGTAGCTAACGTTAGCCAACAGCCAGTCAACTGACGATAATAACTCCACTAACACTTACAACACCCACATACAAATTTACACAATACGTTTAGTCACAGCTGGTCCCTGACCAACAGTGTCGTGTTGGCTAAAACAGTATGATAACATTAAGACACTGCGACAACAAAGACGTATAATTAAGCTGCTAATGAACTGAAATAGCCGTTCATGGCTAGCCTGGCTGACGTCCTCCACTTTGTTCAGGGTGGCTGAAAAAACGAACAAGGAGGAACTTCCCACAACCGAGGTCTGAGTTAACGTTTGCTCACAGTAGCTTTTACTGACATCGTAAATAAGAAACTACCGCTAACTGTGCCACTGGACTGTCACTCAGACATTCATAATGAAACGCAGCTTTCACATCTAAGCTAACCTTTAATGTCAATGTTCGGCTGTTTAGCAATGAATTACTTTTAACAGGCCAGCGAGCTAACTGGCGTTAGCCAGCCGTTTCTGTCACTACTCTCGACGTTGGGGGAAGACAGAGAAAAAGCTCAAATCCAATGCAATGATCTGACTAACAAAATGGTTGTGACTCTGAGGGACTTTTCCCTTCTCTGGCCGTTGTCTTCTTACCTTCAGCTTCTGGAAGTGCTGCTGCTGCACTTGCTTTTGTGCTATAACATAAGGCTTGTCTTGAATTTGGTTTATTTGCTTCGCGGTGCTGTGTGCCTGAATCTTCGCCATTATCCCGGCGACAGGAGGCTTGAGAGCTAAGTTACTACCACAACTTGAGAGGGAAGCCTCGGTGTTACCTCCCGTTGCTGGCTAGCCGACAAACCTTCCTCTCAGTCGGGAAGCCAGCCTGCCAGCGAACAACCCTACAACCCTACTTTGCCTGGCTGGACAGTGTCGGCACGGCGTAGAAAAGGACGGAAAATGCAGCAGAGTGGAGGGTGATGACAGACAAGCTGCTAGTCGCTGCGACTTGGATTAAACATCACCATCGAACTGAACAAGCTGAAGCGAGAAGCGTCGGAAAATAAGCTAAGGGACAATGGTCGCCGTTTATCTTATTTAAAATAACTATCGCCTGTCTCTTTAAATTCGGCGGCAGCGATCTGCCTCGGCGTCCGGAAGCCAGAGTAGGAGTGAAAAACTGAAAAAAGGAGTGAAAAATTGAAGTGCGCAGCCGCAACGGTGGGAGGAGCCGAGTTCTCAGGAATCAGATTGCTCCACTCCTCCTCACTGATACAAAAGAACAATGTTACTCCATTCAGAACGACAGCTACATACAGTACATCACACCTTACCCACAAGTAGACCAGCTATGGACCGAGCACTCACTCAGGCATCAATACTGGGCTAATGGGAAACCCGCATCTCTTACAGGAGGCCTACCAGCAAAGCACAGCGTGCACTGTTTTGCTTGTTCTTCAATACAAGAAGCAGTTTGCAGCAACTTTGAATTTTTAATGTATTTCAAGGATGAGAAGAACAGATCACTGGATTTGAAATGATTTATTAGTGACTTACATCATATGGCAAAACATCAAAGTAGTAATAAGAATAAACAGCTTATAAAAATGTTTTAATGACATTACCTCTTGTAAGGCTGCAATTGATATTTTCGTAATTCATTTCTTGCTCTATAAAACAAAAGTGATAGTCATCACAATGTCCTAAGGTACCATGCGATATCATCTGATTCCTTGTTTTGTACAACCAACAGAATAAAACCTAAAAACATTAAATTCTCACAAACTTTCTGGAACCGGAACCATAAATGTGTGGCATTTGTGTTTGAAAAATAACCAAACAGTTTAATCAGATTAGTATCTTAAGGGGTCACTACTGCCTCCAATTTCCCATCAAGTCCTGTACAACCTAACTTCCTATGCTGAAACAATACTCAGAATTTGTGGTAATTTAATTAAACAACTTTATTAGTAGATAAACTTTGTATTTCTGCACAAGGACTGTTCATTTTGTTTCCCCCACTGAAATACCATTAGGAATGTCTGTTTTAATGGGCCAGTATAAGCAGGAGGTTTGAAAACGGAAAGAAAAACCTGTTGCAGTGTTCATATGGGTGCTGGACTATCGTTTTATGACAGACAGACAAATTGTGACCCCTAACCTTTAACACATCTGTAACTGCAGCTCCTGGGTAGTTGCTCACTTTGTCCAGTTGGTAATATAACCTTGACTGCAGAGTGCTCATTTTGCCACTTAACAACGAGGTGTCCCTTAAGAGGCTTTGGTAGCAAGTTTCCACCTTTGTAGCCACTGCTGAAAAGTCAGTCCTCCTTTACTGATCTCAGGTAGGACATGCTGTGCTGGTTGATCCCACCTACATGTATGAACACACAAAAGAGTTAACCAGAAACCAGGCCCTTAAACTCCCAAGTGAAGGTATAAATCCAAAACACAAATACATTATTTAAAATATACATTATAGATGCATGCACACACCCACACCAGCAAGAGTTTACTAGACTATTATTGAACTATAAAAGAAAACAACCATGGTCTTATTTTTATAGTTTGGGACATAATTTCTATCCTTTAAGTATTTGAGTATTTTGAATTAAAACATTACTACAAGTGCTTGTGCTGCTATCTCTCATGCGCCCCACTTTAAAGCTGTGTAAAGTGAAGTTCAAATGTCAGCAATGAAGGAACCAATAGGAATGAGGGTGAAACCATGAAACTACACCCATACTAGAAAAAGATTCTCATTTACAGACATTTCTGAAAGGAAACTACATAGTACAAAATGCTAAGTGTGGTGCACCAATGGTTTTAGAATGAGTTATCTACTTTGGAAAATGTGCCTCACCAGTAAGAGATGGCAGTTTTGACTTGCTTCCCATAAGAAAGACCCTGTGCACAACGCTGGGTGAGGCCTCTGACTCTTGGTACCAAAGACTTCAGAAGCTTCTGATCCTCCTCCATGACTCTGGACAGCAAGGCTAAAAAGCATAGTGAAGACAAAGAGTGGTTTGGTTACAAGTAAACTGTTCTTAAGGTCACACCAGTTCCTCTTTATTTATGCTTTATGTGTATTTTAAACATGAAAAAGCATCATTGTGAACCAGCCCCCCCACCCCAAATACCTTTTTGATCAGATGCATGCAGCTGCTCTGCATCCTTTTCTATTTTCTGCATAGTAGCAGAGTGAAGCTGTAATAACTGACGGAGAAAACGCAACTCAAGTTTCTGGAAGCGAGCCTGGGAACACAACTCCTCTGGAGCCTGAAGTGGAAGGAGGAAGAAAATTAGTTTGCATCAAAGTCAGGCAAAGAGGCAAAAGAGAAAAGCATCTATAAAATGACCTGCACACTGTAGAAAAGCAAAAACTATGCACTGAGTGTTTGTAAAACTAACAGATATCCACAAAAAGCAAATTTAAAAAAACAGAATAGTTGTCGGCGTGCCTCAGTGCCGTTAAACTGATTTTCATGGATCTGAACTCGGTGAGTGAGAGGACTGGGGTCGAGCGATGACAGTGACAGTCAGCTGGTTAATCAAAACCACTCGGGGCATGCGGAGTTTAACCACTCACCCTGTACAGTGGGAATGTCAGGCTCTGACACAAGCTGCTGAAGGTTGGGGACTGCAAGCGATAGATGGACAACCACGATGCAGGGGTTCTTTGCATTCTGAGGCAGTAGAAGAAATGTCACTTTTCTTAGCACCACTTGATCACAACTATAAATAAAATGCATTTTCTTGACACACACTGTTCTGCTTCTTGCCTTTCCTTCCCTCTGTGAATTTGCAATTCATTTTAAAGTTCAACAAAAATCAAAATAGAAGTGTGTCCTGTGTAACCTTTTTGAATGTTTTACCAAATACACACTTAACATTGTACAGAAAAGTTTACCAATTATGTACTAACCTGGCTTGTGTTTACCACTTTTAGAATCAGCCAACAGTCTCTTACCCTTCAACAGTCCTGTGGTCCAGAGCAAGTAGTGAAATTGTTCCAAACTGTCTGGCCTCCTTAGAAATAGAGTTCCTTAAGCTACTGGCTGCACTGGTGACATCTTCAAACAGTGGCACCAGCTTTCCCTGGACATATTTCTGTAACTGAAACAGGACAAAGGTGTTCAAAAACTCACTTTTTTTGTAGCAAAGTTTTTTAGTTTAAAGAGATCAAAACATTTCTATCACCACAGTAATGAAGTAAATCTTATAAATAACCCCTTTACTTCAGTGTCACAGATGGAGAACATCCTCACCTCTGTATGTAGACGGATCAACTCCGTCTTGGCTGTGGAGTTCTCCTTAATCAGACCTCTGATCTGCTCCTGTCTGAGAATCTGCAGCGGTAACAACAAAACGTGCCTAATTATGTTTTCTGGGAATACTGACAGCTCTGCAGTTGAAGTTCATGAAAGTTTGGCAAATAAAAATGTTTATCTCCAGACAGTGAAGAGGACATATAAACAAATTTACTAGATCACATTCTCCTTAATAATAACAGATATAATTTGAAACTTGAAGAGAATGCTGGATCCATGAGTGGCATTAGCAAAGACCAAGAGATCCCATGCTGTCAATTCAACTGAACCAAAAAGATGAATAAAATAATGAAGGTAATAACTTATAATACATATAAATATAATAATGTTTCCCATTAATTTCTTTTCCACTCAGGTAGTTTTATTTGAAGGAGAGGCAATGATTTTCTAGTCAACATTTTATTTTGATAGGGCTTGACGTCAACAATATTGCCTGTCATAACCTACAGAACTGTCGTAGTAATTCTTGTCAGTTAGGATGCTAATGGCCTTTGCTAGAACATAAACCATCTTATGTAGAATCTTTGGCTGAACTAAATATGCCACAGCCTGGCTGAGAGTGAGGCTGGGCTTTTAGAGTGTAAGGTACACCACAGTAAAGGAAAGGGATGCACAAGATAAAACTATAGCATCTTTGTGAACCAAAATGTGGCACAATTATCTTGATTTCAAAATTGTGCAAAACCACAGTCATAATTGAAAATAAAACTCAATTAATTGCCCTGCCTTACTCACCACTAGTTGTCTAAAGTCAAGGATGCTCTGCCACTGGCTGCGGAGGGTTTCGAGCGCCTCCCGTTGGCTTCTGGCGTGTTGGTCAAGTTGGATGCACTGGTCTCTGATGTGATCTCGGGCTGCAGCCTGCATCACACACTGGAGTTCCAGCTCTAGAGCTGAGCTGGGAGCAATACAAAGAGGGTTCAACAACTAAAATGCAAGCACAGTAATATTTTTAAAATAAGTTTTTTCTTTTTCCCAGATCAAACCATGTATGTTATGTTTGCAGTAAACTTACAACATATACAAACACAAAGAATAACTACAAAAAAAAAAAAAAAATCTAAAAAAATTTAAATGTCCAATCTTCAGTTATTAGTGCTTGATAATAATATTCTACTCTTAAAATAATTTAGTGGCTTTTCCCTGACTTCGGTTGTCTGTAACAGAAAATTCCTAAGCTAAAACATTATTCACTGGATACATACAGTAATGTGTCTGAAGGTGCTGATGCCCTAATTCTACTGAGTTAAAACAGAACAGAAAATGTCTCAGAGGAAGCGATACATCTGTGTATACAAATTTCTTCCAGATTTCACGAGCTACCAGAGATTCAGTGACTTCTGTGGGAGCATCACATCTAAACTCTACAATGAGTCCACTTACAGTGCCATGGAATCATTATGGACCTCATCTGCACAAACAGACATTTCCTGTTCAGCCTCCTTCTTGTCGGCCTGCAGCTGGTTTTTGAGCTGCTGAACTCTGGAGTGCGTCTGGGCTAGTTCCACCCAACTCTGCTCCACCTCTTCCCAAGCAGCCTGGACATAACACATACACACATATAATCACAAATAAAAATGTATTTATCAGATACTGTATGTTAGGAAACACATGAATGTGTTTTCTTCTGCTGTGAACTTGTGTAGCACCTGTAAGAGGCTCTTAACCGGTGGCAAGTGATTATCCTCTTCTGCTGATAGGTCTTGCAAGTGATTGCTTTCATAGCGAAACCTGTAATTTAAATGCCAGATAAATACTGTAACACTAGCAAGAGCTGTGAGTATTTAATAGTCCTAAAGGAAGAGTGAACATTTCAATAACGTAGAAGTTTGCTATACCGTAGAGCTGTCACATCCTGAGTCACATCTAGAGAGGCCAGTTTGTCCTCCAGCTCCTTCTGTTCTCTTGAAGCTAAATACTGTAATGCTGAGAGGATGTGGTTTGGAGGATAACCATCCAACAGGTTCTGATGCCATGACAAAACAACATGTCAATCTGAAGTAAAAAATTAAAGATAGTACATGTACATATACACACACACACACACCAGTATTAAGTTAAATGTTAACTTAAAAAAGTTAAACCAACCTCCACAGCACTCAACCAGTACTGAAACACAGCAGTCCTCTGTTCGCGAGTCATACTGAGAGGTGGGGGAAAAAAACAAAGTTATTAATTCAAAAAATTAAATGTTGACTATATTCTGAAAGAGTTTGTGAATAACTGATTTCTCAAATACTGCTTCGGCTGTAGTCCCTACTGTTTGGCTGCAGAGCTCTGGGTTTTCAGTTCACTCTCTTGTAAAGACTGATAGAAACGGACCCTGTCGTCACACAGCTCTCTCACTTGACGCTAACAGGAACAAAAAAGAAATGCAATGATTTCCTTCAATAAGCAGGTGATGTATTACATACATCTTGGACTGCAATACTCAGATCTGTATTAATAATTAGGGCTGGGAGAGAAAAAAAAAATCGACTCCCATTAGAATCGTGATTCATATGTTTGATGATTCTAAATCGATTCACAAATGCTAAAAATTCAATTTAAGTCACACAGCGCTCAACCACGAAGCCAGTGTTGTGCATACAGACAGTGCACACAGACAGTGCACAGCTATGCTTGTAATGTTAGTTCATCTTCAGATAACAAACTCATATGTGCATGTTTTAATTACTTGATAATGAGCTTTAAAAGACAACTGTGGAGGACTGTGTGACTATGTTGTATGCCCATCACAAACAGACTGACATTAGCATAGCAGAGCATAGAACATATTAACAAACGTTGCTGTTTCTCTTCAAAGGTCATTATTATTATTTTTGTAAATTCATGTTTTGCCATATTCAGTCTTTGCTTTGGGGGTTTTCTGGTTCAGACTTCACTGTTAACATGACTGCAGATAAAGTGCGCTCTAAACTCTACTCAGTAAAACACAGGCCAGATTTAGGTGGCTCTTACCAGGACTTGTGCCACTGCTGTGGCTTTGGAATTGAGGATGTTACCATCACTGCTGCTAGAAGACTTGTCATCAAACAGTACTTCAATCTCTGCTTTTCTGCAATACACAATCCAGTACTTATTTTCAATATTTGAACTAAATGATTAGCATGGGTGAGTAAAGTCATTCATTTGTTTCACTTGAACTTCAGCTTCTCTGCCTTACCTGGCCATCTGTTCCAGTACCTTGCAGTGCCCACTGATCTTGTGTGTGTCATCAGATAGCACCTCCCGACCCAAGATGCAGCGCTGCCTGAAGGCCTGCAGAAGCAGCTCTCTGCGCCGACTGTCCTCCACCTGGGCCCAGATACGACTGATAGACTGCTCTGTTTGATAATGAGAATAAAAATGTCTTATTTACATATTAGAAGCACTATGGAAACAGCAAATGACAGTTGTGACCTGGCTCTATGCACTGTGATCCCTACAAGCTAATTAAATAATTTGGTCATAGTCATAATCTTTTCAAACATTTCTCTTCATTCCCAAATGATGCCCAGCCCAGACTGCACACAATGAACTGACCTTGTGTGGCCAACTGTTCCTCTGTTCCACTGATCTGAGAATCCAGGTGACTGATCTCAGCTCTCAAATGCTCTATCTGCCTTTGAAGCTCTTTCTGCTTTGTAGCCTGACTCTGGCCCTCAGCCTGTTTCAGCTAAGCACACAAAAACACCAGCCGATTAATCATTTCATTTAATCAGTGGCTTTCTTGCTGAAATTAAATATTTGTGTATCGGCATGATCACTTAGGGACGGGAGAACAAGTTGCACCCTACCTCTTTGTCTTGAAGAACCTTGTACCTTGAAAATCATAGTGTCAAGAGAATTAACAAAAAATACTAGACGGTGGTCATAGTGGCTGAGGACAGTATACACTAAAAGACTCCATATATCCATCCAGATATTAATCCATCTATTACCACTTATCCTGAAAAGGGTTGGGGTCTGTTTTAACTGTCAATCACAGCTGACAATGGGTGAGAGGTGAGGTACATCCTGGACAGGTCGCCAGCCTATCACAGGGCTGACACTTGGAAACACTTTAGCGTCGCCAGTCAACCTAAGCTGCATTTCTTTGGACTGTGGGAGGAAACCAGAGTACCCAGAGAGAACCCACGCAGGCACAGGGAGAACATGCAAACTCTGCACAGAAAGGTATCGGACTGGCCGAGGCTCAAACCCCGAACCTTCTTGCTGCTCCACCATTCCTCCTGACACCATGTATAGTAAAGACTCTTTACAACAATGCACAGTAGACAGTTCACAAGAAACAGCGAGATAACAGTCCTTTTTCACACTTTCTTGAGTGATATCTCAGAAATGAATAAAAGGCACAAATAAAGTTGCCATTATAATATCCTGAACAATGCAGGATTTTTTTTTGTATAATACCAATATTAATATGTGATAATTATAACAACATTGATATACAGTATCAGCTGATATTAACCATTAATAATACTACAGCCAAGGAATGTACTGGGAAGATTGATTTGAAATTGATAAGTGAATTCATCATACCGTGTGGTATATAAACTACAGAGCAGTGATGCTGTTGGAAAACATATCTCTGCCATATCTGTACTTCAATTTCTTGACATTGATCATATATATATATATATATATATATATATATACATACA